CTGACCTAAACAACCTGTTACTGATCATTTAAGACTTTCATTGTTGAACGTCCTCAAATGCTTCAACTGTGACCCAAACCCTGTGAGATCATTTTTAAACGTTTAGCTCGAATAAAAACAGATCAATGGCTCAAACGTTTAAAATATTTTTTAACGTCACATTTCTGTCGCCTCGTTGTTTAAACTGGGCGTCAGAAACAGAACTACGAACAGAACGTTACGTTTTTTCTACTCGCCGGACCCTGAGGTCGGCAGGGTTCCGGGTCAGAACCAGAACCCACCTTTTTGAGTTTGGCTAGCTTGGGGATGTCTGCCACGCTGGTCAGCCCGACGTTGATGAGGCTGAGCAGCTCCAGGTTGGAGAACTCCTCCGTGATTGCCTCGATCTTCCCCTCGCTGGAGCGACAGTTGTCCAGAACCAGCTCCTGGACCTGGGGACAGGAAAACACCAGTTAGTCCAGAACCCGCATGCTGTCACTGAACCGCACGCCTCCGAGTTTGGTTGTGACGACGCAGTTTGTAAACAAAACGTTTTTGACCCGAGCCTCCAGGACGGACGTCTGCGCCGAGTCACTCAACAGAAACAGGATCAACCCCGAGGGTTCAGGTACTGAAGTACCTGAACTCATCGCACATGGAGCAGAACATCCAGAACATCAACCTGCAGAAGCTCAGAGCAAGATTTACGTTCAGCTTTTACCAGATTTACTGATTAACAGTAATCGTCGACAAGTCTCTGAGAGGGATGTCGTCATGTTATGCACGCTGCAATGCACTCTGGGTAAACGATGTAGATAAACTGCTCCGGTGCGAGCTCCATTGTACTGATAGAAATTTTGGACACCGACCGACGCTCAGTGCTTTCATTTGAACCGGAGCGCGTCGACAGAATGAAGAAATGAGTCAACCTGCAGCCGAAAATGATGAAGACTGAACGATGAAGAGGAGCGCTGCTGATGAAACTCTGCTGCAGAGCCCCGTCACAAACAGCTGGATCAAAACATATTTTCAGATACATCAGATTAGTTCCAAGACATTGTTGTCATTTTACACATTAATCTGACTGAACACATGAAGCAGTCCGGCGCTGCCTCGTGGGTGGAGGACTGACGGTGCATGTGTGGTCCTCAGGGATGACTGTTTGTACTCCTGCTAAACATCACAAGTTGCACACGTTTGACCATTTCAACCCATACATTGTGTATGTTCAGGTTTCTGTTTAAAATACTGCATTATATTACATTATTACTGTTTAGTGTATATCTTAGATCCTTGTCTACTGTGTCTTTTTAATACTTTAATGATTTTGCTATTTTTGGGTGTAATTGGGACCGTGAGTACACAATTTCGTTCCACCTCATGTAGCACATGTGATGCAAATGACAACAAAGAACCTTAAACAATTAATACAAAATATAACTTTACAGTATTACCAAACTTTTGGACAAGAAAGAGATCCTTTAAGGCAAACTAGTGCCCAAGACTAAACGGAACCGGCCCAGTGAGGAGTAACATCCATGTTGGAACGGTCCCGACCCGCGGACCTGTTACTGTGTTGCCAGATATACGATAATAATCGTAAATATAGGATGGCTGTAAGGCACAGGTGTCAAAGTTTGACACCCCTGCTGTAAGGAGTACACGATAAGAAGTTATTAAAAAAGCACAATCAATAGTTTTGGTATTTCCGTGCATTAAAAAAACGTTTCATTAACCTCACCACAACCAGTAGCTAAACGACAAAGCGCGTCCACTCTCCGTGCATACCGCAGCTTGGATGAAAACGCTAAAGTTTTAACGCTCAAATACGACATTTCGTCTCTTCCCATCTGGCAACCCGGTCTGTTTATAAACTACTCAAAACACGAGCAGCGTCGCGTGAGCTAACTCAGTTAACCGCCCCTGTTGTTTCTTAAAAAAACCAAAATGACGCAAAATCGCTCCGAAAAGCATTTAAATGATAAAGAATGATGAATAGCACCTTAAAATACAATTAAAATATAATTAGGCAGTAGAAAGAGTGAAGAAAATGTCGGTTTAGCTGCTTTAGCTAAGCCTAGCAGTAGCACGCGCCCTTAGCACGGGCTACATAACCGGGCTCGGACTACTTTCTGGAAACGCGTAGCATCGTTTAGCATCAAAACGGAACCACAAACAAAAACAAACAAGCCGACTGAAAATAGACAGAGCCCGAGTTTTATTTAATTTACTGAGAATTATTACAAGGCATTTTTATGCTGTTTATCTAAAACTATAAAAACCGCATCGTTGGCATAACTTCATACTAATCGTAATAAAGAAAAGTAATTATAAAAACGTATCATTTTCATAGAGAACGGAGTTTATTAATGACCTAAAACAAATTATTGGTGTCCTTTTGCACAGAAATGTAGGTTTGCGGGAATGTAATTCCAGGTAATAGTCGGACCCAATGGACACGGATGTTGTAGATTTCAAGCAAAAAACAAACTTGAAAAAGTTTTCTTACATTATCACGTATATAAAATTGTGCACAACTATAAAGAGTTTAATTATCTGCAGTAAATATTTCCCCTGAATGTGAACATTATGAAAAATTGTGAACGCAGTAAACAACTGCGCAACTTTTTACGAGCAACGGAAAAACCGGGAGCGCGAGCACCGGAAGTCAGTGAAACTGATTAAATGCGCAGCTAAATTTTATTTTACTTTTGAGTCAGAGTTAAGTTTTAATCAATAAATAAACGTGCTGGCACTTTTTGGATAGAGGGGCTCCGGCAACCATGTGCTCTGCACCCCTCCTCCTCCGTCTGCCGGTCCAGTTGACCCTGCAGCGGCGCCGTGAAAACACCGGGACTCACCTCCGCTGGAGACCGGTGCCTCAGCTCTAAAGAAACCCGCTTCTGCATGTCCATTTTCCGCTACTTTCGACCCGAGTTTGACGCTCTATGCTGCAGAAAACAGTTTCTCCTCGGTCCTATCTCTTCAACATCAACACGCGGAACCAAAGTGAAGTTAGAAAGAATTGGGGTAAGAGCTTCCGGTTAAACCTACACAAATAAAACCGTGTGGCGTTGCGTGGAAGCGCGAATTACGTAATTTTATGTTAGCTTCCACCAATATTTTCTGATTATTCCCATATTATTTCAACAACTTCACGAACACAATTAATTCTGCATATAAAAGTGAATGAACGAGGTAATTATGTTTTTTTTTTTAATTTTGCATTTATTTTGAAAAATACACATTCAATCGGAAGTTGTCATTAACTTGACGCAAAACGTTCGGCGTGCGTAAAAGTGGGTCAACTCGTTTGCTGCTTTCAAGGACCCACGGAACAAAAGCAGTTGCAGTTTACCGAAACATAAAACAATACAATTTATTCATATATACTTTAAAGTCATTTAAATAATATAATTTTATATTTTAAAGACTTATTTAAAC